ATATATATTTAACATGATATTCGACTAGTTTTGTAGCTATAATTCGAGTATTAACATTTTTATAAAAATATTTTTTATTTGCTAAGGAACTTTCCACTTTCTGAAAAACTCTGCCCAACTTTTTACAGGACATTTTCCAGTCAGTCACACTCCACTCAAACTTGTTCTTGCTGCTGTTGTTGATGGACAAGAAGCATTTAAAAGTAGAAAAAAGAAAAGATTATGAATTCTGTTGGCCAAAATTGAACACGACATTTGGCTGAGATTTGCTAATGAAGCAGAGAGCATCATATTGTATTTCTTTTGTTGTGTTTCGGGTTTCGGCTTTCGATTGCATTTCCATTGCAAAATTGTGCAATTCGTAATGAAGTATGTTCGTTGCTGCTGTCATTGGCCAAAATGCCCTTTAATTGGAAATATGCAAGTCAGGAAAATGCAGAGACTTTTCCGTTTGACGAACGGCTGCAGGCTGGCTCCGAAATGTATGTTAAATGCGCACAATCAAAGATTTGGCTCTTTGAACATGGCCGAGAAATGTAATTAATCCTTTAACTGACAGTTTTCTTCTTAAATCTTTGAGACTATTGATTGTCACTCTTATAAGTTTATTGCTTGCCTTATTCATAATTTATTATTGGAAGAAAAAAAATCAAATTTCGCCTCTGGCTCAACATTTGAGTTGACATTTGTTGTGAATGAAGAGAGAGAGAGCATTCATGTCTTGTGTTTATTTGCTTAATGCCGATTCCTATTTAATAAAATCTTTAGAAAAATATTGTTTTAAGCGAGCTTTGCACAAATTCTCTCGCCAACCAGCCAGACAGCCACCCAGAGTTATAAATTGCAATTAAAATGCAATAATCCATCGCTACGCTGATTGCATTTGGCTTCAACCGCTGTCAGTCAAACGAATGGGTGGGCGGCCAATTTTTGTGGGGGGTGGGAGGGCGTGGCTGCGGCTACTATCGATATTTTTGCATATGGCTGAAAATGGAATCGAGATTCTCTCGCTCTCGTCTATGTTGCCAGTGGTCAAAAGGCAACTGCAATCAAAATTGCAAATACAATAATATGAAAAGCACAATGAAATAAATTGAAATACCTCAAGCTATGTAAATGGGCAACCCAGCCAGGCAGCCAGCCAGCCAGCCACATGGACACGCACAGGCCGACCCCAAATACCCACACACACACACTTGCACACTCTCTCTTTCTCACTCTCTCACACGTACACGTTTGCACCTATGTGTAGAGATTGGCAGAGCAAATACGAACGAGACAACGACAACAACAACAACAAAGGAAGCTGGCGGGCATCACAGCAACAGCAACAGCAACAGCAACAAAAAAGTTTTGCTCGCCTTCCATACAACTCCTACACCTATCCTAGGCACCCCTAGGGCACTATATCAGCGCGTTCTGCTTTGTAATAGAGACAGCTGGCGATGTCAACGACTACGTTACTTATGCCATAATCCGAAACTAACCAATCGAAATCTGAGTAGCGAGCAATGGCTTGATATCGTCTAAAATAATTGTATTCTCAGAGCAGGTAGATCCAAGGCATTGGCCGATAATTAGCTAGTTATATATGAGCTAGTTAAAGCAAGTCTAGCTACAATATATATCATTATAATCAATATCATTATAGCATTTTTTCAGCAGCATTATTAGTGATATATTTATCAATATTTCGATACTTATGATTATTGCCAAACATAATTGTAAACATCATCATCATGATCATCACTTGCAGCGTAATTATCAGTATCATTATCATCATAATATGCACATTATATTGCATTTCATAATAAACTTTCAAGTGAGCATCATAATAATGATATATATATATATATATATATATATATATATATATATATATATATATATATATATATATATATATATATATATATATATATATATATATATATATAAATCATCATAATGATCATAATTATGACTGGCATCATAATATGAACCTCATCATAAATTTCTTCATAAGCTCCCCAACGATCATCAGGATAGTGGTAATGTATCGTACTATTACTAAACTCATAATATATGTGATAATAATTAACTTGCCAATGATCATCATAATATCATTACTAATGATTATAAAAATCATGATGCTATTTATTTATAACTATAAACAATGTGTTCCTTTTTATGAACAATATACAATATACTTACATTAAGTAAAATGATTGCTGAAATCAATGAATAATTATTTAAATTAAATATCATCTAAATATACTAAACTTGCGCTGCGACTGCCCTGCGTCTGCCCTGCAGCTAATCTGGAATGCGACTGATCGAGCTCTCTTGAGCGCTTCCCTTTTTATAGCTGTCACTCCAAATGAAGCAATGAAATCTTGCTCTCAGTTGGTTGCTGTGTTAGAACATGTCTGCAAACGGAGTCAAGTAGAGAGAGGGATGAAGCTGAGCCTAAATGGATTTAGCTCGTGATGCCAATCTTAATACATAATGTATATGCTGCATGGGCATGCATACACACATACATACATTCATGTTTTGAGCTGTAAAAGTCGCGCCTTCAGATCCGATTGTTGTAATGAAATGTATTCATTCCATCTAAATATAATGAAAACTGAAAGTATTTTTTTTTTAATTTATAGACAATTCATTTAGCTTATATTTCATAATTTAAATATATCTTTGAGTCTACAAATATAAATACATATATATATATATATATATATATATATATATATATATATATATATATATATATATATATATATATCAAGTCAAGTATATATATATATATATTTATATATATAACGCTATTTCAAAAACTGTATATCTATGTTAATGATCTTAAATATTTCACTATTAGGATAAAAATGTATATCAAATAATTGTCATATTTCTACTCATTTATCTCTATAGAAGACTCACAGATCTGAAAGCATTTACGAAAGAGTCTACTACATTCGTGCAGCTCGTCGGGTTTTTTGGACGGAAATGGAGAAGGGAGCGTCTACGTAATCAGCATTTGTGGCGCTCGAGGTCATCCGCAAAGTCCTGCGGCGACATCGTGTTGCATGCGGCACAGCTACGTTCTACGGCAACAACAACAATGAGAGCTACAACAAAAGTTTCATGTGGCTGCGTCCCGACGACGACGACGACGCCGCCGCCGCTGACGCCGCTTCATCTTCCTGCCTCGTGCCTTTGGTGGTGGTGCTGCTGCTGCTGCTGTTGGCCCTGGGGCAACATTTTGGGTTGGCTGGAATATTATAATTACAAGCGAAAGAGGCCCCAGAGGTGCCCAAAGCAGCGCCCAACGTGGGTTGCCCATGACAACGATGCCAACGCTGCCAACGCTGCCAAATGAAGCTGCGGACGCAGACGGCGACGGAGACCAAGGCAGAACTGAGACGAGGTAACTGTGACAGTTCCGCTTTTTACACAGCCCAGTGTGTGTGTGTGTGTGTGTGGATGGGTTGTGCGTGTGTAAGCCAGTTGCAACATGTGACTTCCACTGCCGGCTACCGAGCTGGCAAGCTGGCGCTGGCAAGCTGTAAAGCTAGTTGAGCTCTCTGACTGATGGCTCGTTTTCCCGATTGCCGCTTCGCAAATTAAGACCTAAAAGATACACACACACACACAAATAAATGACTTAAGCCAAGAGAGAGAAGTAGAAAACGAGATGTCGAAAAACAACTTCATTCAACTGATTTTCGTGTGAAAATTATTGAAATACATTTCCTAAAGCTAAACCAAATGAGCTGAGCTACGTCTCTGAGTGCAGTCAATATATATATATATATATATATATATATAAAAGATATATATATATATATACATACTCCCATAACATTTCGTACTGGGCCTAACTATTTTCGTCGTCTCCATTGCCGTCGTCGTCTACCTCTAAGCGGACATTGGCGATTATCTTGTCCACGACTGTGAAATAAATGAGCGTCGTAGTCCGTACTAAGGATAGCCTCGGGGCCATTGTTGGCGCATTGTTGCTTCAAAGAAAAACAAAATACCAAAGATAGGTTTCAATTTATCAGTGTGTGTGTGCGAGCGAGTGTGTGTGTGTGTTTGTTGTGTGCGATGTGGTTTGTCTTGAAGGCAAACTGATTAAGAGCCAAAAAGTTCCCACATTTCATATGTGTGTGTATTTAGCAGCTTGTGGGTGTATTAGTATATACCATCCTCTACACATGTGTGTATGCGTGAGTGGTGTATGGGAATGCCCCGAAGTTCGATTGAGCCCTTCGAGCACATATAACTCACTGCGTCTGCGTATAGAGAGGCAACCTTTTGTACAGTTGACCTGCTTTGCTCGGTAGAGAGTACGCGGGATTAAGCTAAGAACTTCAGCGATCGTTAAGAACAATGCGCTTGATCACCAGTTGGCATATATATATAGCTAAATTATATAAAATTATAATAAAAAAATAAATTAAAATAAATTAATTTTTAACTTTAACGTAGTTAGTTTGCTAATGTTTTAGCGCTTCTAAGAATAATACAGAAATTGTTGTTATATTTTAATAAATTTATATGCAAATATATAAAAAAAATTATGTTTATCATTACACAAAAATTACAAAAATATATTTTTAGTCAAACAATATTTTCTCAGTATCATTATTTCATATTTAAAACAACAACAATTAACACACAAAATAATGATAATGCAAATTAAATCAATCATGATGAGTATTAAAAAATGCAAATGAAATGTGGGCAAATGATAAAAAAGTATTGATAAGAGTGAAGTGTAGGAGTGTAGGAGTGTAGGAATTATATATATATATTTATACATATATTTACAAATATATTTGCGGGCTATAGCCGCAAAGAGTTTTATTTACTTAAACTACAATTACCATTCCTAAAGCAACCTTATCTATGGCAAAAGCATAATCTTATAGATTAAAACTTTGAGTTCGACTACATACATATGTATATAACTAGTCTTTGATAAGTTTGCATTTAGTTAGTACACAAATGTTGGCCAACAAAGTCGATTAAAATGTCTCTGATCGAAACGTTCTACAATCAAGAGCAAAAAATTTGGAGCGGACCTGACAATGTCTTATTCGCCGATCCACAAATATCTGTGGGCCAGGTCATATACGAAGTGCTGAAGGAGAAGCCAAGCAATACATTTCAGGTAGAAACTAAATTAAGACCCAGTCAGTTTTAAAAGGATTCTTCTACAGATACTCCACGATGATGGCCAAACAGTTTCCAATGCGGAGACTTTGGCAGCGGCTGTGGGCATTGCGCAGTATTTAAAATCTGAAGGACTAACGCATCGCGATGTAGTTGGACTTATAGCTAGAAATAGTGCACATCTGGCTGATGTACTGTTCGCATGCCTATTCAATGCCACGCCCTTTCATGCCGTGAATCCCATGGTCGAAAGAGAAGCCATAGCGGCACTCTACGCGATAACCAAGCCAAAGATTATATTCTGTGACGGCAGAGATTACGAACTGTTGAAAGGGCTTACCAAAGACTGGACTCCAAAGTTTATAACGCTCAGCGATCCCACAGAGAATGTGACTGGCATAGAAGAGCTATTGGCGAACGCAATTAAGGAAAATAATTATGAGTGAGTTATTAAAAGGAATATTCAGATTTTGGCTATAGATAGAATCTGCTTTCAGATACTTTGATAAGAAACTTTAATTTAAGCTAGACTCTTTAGCTTAAACTATTTGTAACCAGATATCATTTCTACTGAAAAAATCTTTAAAAATGCTTCTTATAAATGTTTTATAGACCCACAAAGCTGGTGCATGGGGCCGATCAAACCATGGCTATTGTGTGTTCCTCGGGCACTTCCGGCCTGCCCAAAGCTGTGACCATAACCAACTCTCAACTACTGCTAATATCGCCGTGAGTATAAATCTGTCTATACCTATAGATATATAGATAGATACAGATGTATCCACATAGATATATCTAAAGATCTATCTTTATGTATAGTTCAATTTATACCTTTAGATCTATTTTTATCTATAGATCTATATACATTTATAGCTCTACCTTTATCTATTCATAGATATCTATAGATCTACCTTTATCTATTGATAGATAGCTAGATATATCTGTTTGTATATCTTTCTATATCTATAGGTATAGATCTATCTAATCCTGTAGATCTACCTACATCTATCGATACATCATACATTCCCATTCCAGTGTTAGTGGCCTCAATGACGTTGTATATACCACGGCGAGCTATGATTGGCTATCTGCTATAAAGTGCCTGCTGAGCAGTACAGTGAATGAGGCAAGTCGTGTGATCTGTAGCCAGCCCTTCAGCGTGGAGTCTCTTGTGGCGATTATACGGAAATGGCAGGTGACCTACCTGTACGTCTCCCACTGGCAGTTCAATGCGCTCTTCAACAGTCCCCTTGCCACGGCAGAGAGTCTGTCGAGTCTGCAGTTCGTGCAGTACAGCGGGGGCTGGGTATCAGCTGGGGTGGTGCAGGCAGCGCAGCGAATCATCGAATCCACAATTTTTGTTTACGTGTACGGCACAACGGAAACGGACGGCATATCGATTTGCCTGAATCCGGAAGCGGAAAACTTGGTAGGGGCTCTGCTGCCGGGCGTTCATGTACAGATCGTCAACGACGCGGGCCGCCAGCTGGAACATAATGAAGTTGGCGAGATCCTGATCAAGACGAACCAGAAATGGAATGGGTATTATGGCAATCCGGTGCAAACAGCTCAAACCCTCGATTCTGAGGGCTGGTTTCACATGGGCGACATTGGATACTTTGACAAGGACAACAGACTGTATCTGGTGGATCGCAAGAAGGATTTGCTGAAGTACCAATCGATGCATTACACGCCCAACGAGATCGAAAAGGTCATCGTCGAGCTGCCAGAAGTGCAGGAAGTCTGTGTGGTTGGCATTAAGGATCCTTTATATGGCGATGCGGCTGGAGCTCTAATTGTGCGAAAACCGAACAGTGTACTCTCTGAGAAACAGGTCATAGGTCATGTTGCAAAGCGCATTTCAGTGCAGTATAAACAGCTGCATGCAGGTGTTCGCTTCGTGGATAAAATTCCTGTTAATATAAATGGAAAAGTGCTAAGAAATGCAGCTCGAGAAATGTTTCACAACTCGGCAATAACAAAAGCCAAGCTTTAAAAATATTTTGATTTTCAAAGCGATTTAATTATTAATTTATTATAAGTATTTAAATTTGGTATTCTTTCTGCGCTTAAATCCTTTTTATAAGAGACAATGTACTTAAATGTATGGTCGGCTGCTTAACATAAGAGAATAAAGAGGCAAAGAATCTAAAGCACTTATAAATGTGCGCTGCAAGCAACAACTACATCTAGCATTGTTGCTGGCAAGATGAGCTGCAAATGCTTTTAATCCCGATACATGGAAATACAATGAGTGAAAGCTAATAGTGCAAATTGCGGCTTAGCAAAGTCGCGCACCCAATGCAGCATTTAGTCTTCATAATATATTTGTGCAATTTAAAAGTGATACAAGTTTGTGTAATTTACTCTACTCTACTTACTATACATACATACATATGTCTATGTGCACATATAAATAAATAATACATATACAACTGCACACATTATACCTCTTCAGGTATGCATTATACTTTAGCAAACTCCTTTTTAAATAGCTATTTGCTTACGCATATAATAAACATCACATAATTAGAACAAGAACGTTTATCAGATTATACGCATGCATATAAATCATATTTTTGCTTTGCGAATGTATTTATTGTGCGAGAGAGCGAGAGAGGTAGATAATAGCAATTCGAGAAAAAAGTCTTCTAATATTTGGACTGCAGGCAGTACCTGCTAAATGAGAGCACGTCGCAGTATGTGTGAAGAGCATGAGTATTTCAATACCAAACAAAAGCTTTTGATAGCGAACTCTGCAGTTAATGAGCGAACACTTTAATTGGCGGGTAATGCAAGTCTGAGCATTTAGTCTATGATCTTAATGATCTCTCTTATACTATATATAATATACTCTTATATTTCCACATTGCACTCTAATTGATTGAGTGGGAATTGAGGAAAGCTTCTCTAATAGAGTATAAAAAGCTGTCCTTCAAAAAACATTTCGTAGATTTCAACATATGCAATGCAGCTTAATGCATCATAAAAAGTTTTTGCTGAGCAAATTAGAAACAAAGAGTTTTCATTTGGATCAACTTTTGTATCGTTCCAATTGCTCTGGGTGGGATTCTCTTATATCTTTTTTTGTATATGTATATATTTTTTATATATAGTCTTCATCTAGCCATCGGCTGCATTTCATGTGAAATATGTATTACGAAGAGGAACAGAGCAATGGGAAATTCCCTGGCGGCGATTTATTAGTAAAAAATGTTTCGTGTTTGGCGTCTGCGCGTCGCATTGTTCGTCGTGTTGTGTTTACGTTGTAAGCTGTTGCTGTTGCTGTTGCTGCTGTAGCTGCGTTTGCCTTTTGGCCATGATAATTTAGATGCTGTTGTTGTGATAACAATACACACACACACACTTAGACACGCATGCCCTAGCCAAAGCCAAAGCTGAAGCTGAAGCTGAAGTTGAGGCCAAAGCCAAAAACTGCACGAACAAGTTCGATGTTGGCCTTCGTTTTGGACGTCTCGAGGGGTTCGAGCGGGTTTTGTTTTGGGGTTCTTTGCTCGACTCTTGCCTATCGCTGGCCTGCTAGTATTTATGGCCAATGTGAAAGTAACCTTGATTTATGGCACCCCATCAGGCCATCACCTCAAATAGGTTCAAATTATATAAATTGTGCCATATACACACACACAGTGGTATAAACTGTGCAATGCTCGAGGCTAAAGGATTAGCTTGCTGCTAGCTATGAATACATCTATTTGTCGCTAAGCTCGTGTCCCAAAGAGTAGAAGGCATAAGCGCTAGACGGGGCGGGTCGTATATTTTGCATAATTCGTATGCCTCTCTGGTACATCAAAGAATGCTGTTAATTAACTGAAAGCCAAAAATTTAATTTATACAAATAAATCAAATTTTAATACCGCAACACAAAGAGCCAATAGAACTAATAGAGTTTAGTGGAGGTATGCAGTATGAAATTTTATTAAAATCTAGCAAACTATTGTTAAATCAAATCAAGCGTAAGGACAGAAATGTATTATGTCTAAGTTATTCTTGATAGCCCAGTTTATATGTAAATAAAATGTCACTTTCTACACTTTCAGGGCAATCTTAAATTACAATTAACAAAATATTAGAAATTTGGGGATATAGAAAACTAAGTTAGCTGGTTCGCACTGTAAATTGTAGCCGAGATTCTAATATATAAATTCATTTTGTTTATGCATATTCATAATGATTTTGGCTATGGGAAGAGGGCAGGGGCACTCGCAGGCCTTTGCCAAAGTTCCGACGCTGCTGTATATGGAATTCTGTTTGCCCTTTGACCACTGTTTGCATTGGCATTCGAATTTCAATTTGGTGGTCAAAATTGCGATAGCCACAATATTTTTCTAACACTCGCGCCGCTTAAATTTATGCATGGCCTGGCTCTCTAATACCATTTAGAATAACAGAAATAATTTATTATTTTTAACACTTTACAATTTCGGTTTATTTTCGGTTTAGTTTTTATTATCGTTGTTTTTGTTATTGTTAGTGTCGGTCGTGTTGTTCCTACTCTAGGTTTTTAGTGTTATTTGGAATAACAACAAAAGCGAATTGTTTGTTTTTCATTTGGTCAAGCGGCGTTCAGCGATTGGGCGATTGGGCGTCTGGGCGGGCGGGACATGGTCAATATGGGCTGGGAACTGGCGTGTGAACGCGTTCGAGTGCATTTAGATTTGCACACTTATGTTATAAATACACATATATATATATATTTCCATTTATAAATATTTTACAATGACTATTGCCATAAATTTTAACTTAAATTTTATTGCTTTATAAACTGAAAGATACAAAACTAAATTCGAAAGCTGATCGACTTAAAATATGGGCACTTTCATCATACGCATTATATAGTAGTAAAATTTATAAATAATTCCAGACGTTCTCATCTTATGCAAATAACGTCGCTCAATGCTGGCATATTCCGAGATATCCTGATACAACAAATAGATGAGATAGATTATAGTGCAAAGAAACAAGAAAATTGTATAGATATGCCAGTTATCTGCGATATGAGTTCATAGATGAAGACTTAGTTTCCAGATAATATATTAGAGCTTAAGCATTCTTACCAACAATCTTAATTGCAGCATTAATCCCACGACATATTCGGCACAGAGTATTGAGCTGTTGCTGTATTATCTTGTAGCCGTTCAGAAAAAGCATCTTAGTATGCCGCTCGCTTAGTGGTTTTAGATTGGTCACAGATACTTTTACCTGTACGGGTTCCACGTATGGGGCCTTAACCGTTTGTTTCTGCAAGCCAAAGATTGAGAGTCTAATGAATAAACCAATTGTGAACGATTGAAAATTTAGCTCAACTGATCATGATCGATTCGCTCTGAACAGCCGATCGTGAATCGATCGTGAGCAATTGTACCAATTGGTGGGCAATAAAACAACTGTTAAACGATGGATTGGTGCTTACCTCTAAGTTATGACGCCTGCGCTGCACTTTGCGGGTGGTTTCGGAGGTTTCATAGCAGGTGGCATCTGTTGAATCACCACAGTAGTTCTTTGATTTCGACTTGGTTTTCTTGGTCTTCTTAACTCTTTTCTGTATAGTTGTCGGCATTTCAGCGGGCACTTGAACGCCCGTTTCAACTGGCTTTTCAATGGGCTGCACTGCAACCATGTCTACTGTCGGCTGAACAGTCTTTGCAACTGGCCTTACCGCAGTCTGTGCAACTGGCTTCGGAACAGTCTTTGCAGTTGGCTTTACAGCAGTCTTGACGGGAAGCTTTTGCAGTATCTTGTCATCTTTTTGCAACTTGAATAGCTCATTCGCTGTTCCACCGACTGCCGCTTCTGTTGGGTTGCTGACACGACTTTTCTTGTCATGCTTTTTAGGCACCAGCGCAGGTCTAGTCCATTGATATCCGTTCCTGGGATTGGGTCCATTGCTTTTCGCTTTGGAATCGCCCATGCCAGCCGCATCGCCATCCCTGCGATTCACGTTGACCACATTGCCGTCCATATACGCTTTGCATTCAGTCTCAATGTCGGTCAGCAATGTCGATAAGTTGAACAAGTCCTGGTTGGTTGAGGTGTCGCAGCGCTCCCGCAGTCCGGGTAGATATAGATCAGCCTGTATATGTCGATCACTGAAGTGGCCAACATTTTTGGTAGTTATTTGACCAGCCTTTGATATTTTTACACAGCTGGCATTTACCGTGTCCAAGCTATGTACTCAATATATTCTATCGAAGAATTACAAACGTAGTAAATACTTACGAATCTGCCTCGAATTCCGGATTTCTATATATCTCAACGACTTCTGGCGTAACGGGAGAGAGTTTGTTGTATTTGCTGTCAAAAAGGTATGCGAGTCGATATATTCTCTATGCTGCTGCCGCTCTACTCACTGTGCCTTGGACCACATTCTACGTTGCTAAAATATAAATAAATAAAAAAAAAAAAATTAAATGCTAAGTATTGATTGAGCACAACCAATGTGGTCTGTAAGTTTAAGTGATTGAATGAGCTCTCGAAATGCTTGGCCTGCCTGGAAAACGTATTGACTCAAATTCCAGTGTACTAGATCAGGGTTTTATTGGATTTTGCTTAAATGTCTCTTGGATGTATGCGCTTTGAATCACTCTTTATATAATCACATCTATGTTATATACTTAATAGTCTCTAAATACAAAAAACACACATAACATGATAAAAAAATTATATTTGAGCTGTGTTTTTATAGGCGAATAAGTAAAAAAATACATCTAATTTCATTAACTATAACTTTTCGAAATTAAAAATCGAATCAAAAATTTGATATATTTTATAGCTACTTTTGATACATGAGCTACTTTTGATACATGAGCAACGCAAATGTCAGTTTTTTAGTCAAAAGCTTGATTATCGCTAGACAGTTGAGAATAAATGTATTAAATAAAACAAAATATATAACAATGCAATTGATATAATAATATGACGGAAAAATATCATGAATTAATAAGTTTAACATTCTGTTAAGCCTTGAGATTGCAAGCAATTCGCTTAACAGTTTAGAGTGTTGCTTAACATACTTCAACTCTGTTAAGAGGGATTTCATATTTTATTTGTAGACATAAATTGCAAGCAGTTAGCTTAACAGCTTAGCGTTTAGCTTAACATACTTCAACTTCAGGTTTTCAACAAAGGTGGTTTTTTTATTGTTATCATAAATGTTTAAAGATATTTCTTAATGCACATATTCTTATATATATTATATATATCATTTATATATATATATATACATATATATATATATATATATATATATATATATATATATCTATATAAATATATATATATATATCTATTTATTAAGTTTGCCAAACTGTACAAATTATACAATTTGTCCCTTTTGGGGATTTAGTTGGCAAATAACTGAGCGGAGATTGAAATGTTGCCACATGGCCGTTGGCTTTTTATAACGTTGCTGTTGCTGTTGCTGTTGTTGCTGTTACCTTTGGAGCTGCGCAGGCGCAAATCCGCAGGCCATTTGCAGTACCCACTAACCGCTCACACACACATACACCAACACACACGCACACCCCTCGAGAGATGCCCTTCTGTGGACATTGCCTTATGCGATCTCGTCTCCTGCCACATTGTCCTTGCCGTCCCGTCGCTTGTCCTCTGTCCTCGCTCATCAAAGCGGTAAGGTCCTGGGGCAACATTAGCAAACCGAAGCGTACGGCATCGCTGCTCCGTTTGTGCCCCTCCGGCGAGTCGAGTCGAGTTTTTCACGCAGCGACGCTTTTTCGCCGTACAGTCAACGCCCGTTGCCAGCATCCGCAACTCCTTCAAGCCTGCAAGGGCGAACGAGTGGGCGGCTGGTGGGAGGCTGTACATAAGCCTTTGTATATAGCCTGCCTTTGTGTGTGTGTGTGTGTGTGTGTGTGTGTGTGTGACTATTCTCTTTATGGCTGGCGGCCATTTCGTGCGGCGCAACTAAATGCACTTGTTGTTGTTGTTGTTGCTGCTGCTGCTGCTGTTGCTGCTTCCTTTTTTAGTTGCTGCTGCTGCTGCTTAGCCATTGCTTTGCCATTGCTGGCAGCTATTTGAGGCTGAAATGTGCGTGCCGCAGGCAACACAGATACAACAGCAACAACAAGAGCTGCAGCTGACTGACTTCTACTTTGACTTTGAGTCGCTTGCTTTCTTTTCTCGCTTGGCTTTAATTGACTTTAAAATTGCCAAAATAATGCTAAATATTTATACAGCTCGTACAGATATATTTATAGAGAGAAAAATATATCTATACTCAATCAGAGTGAGGCAATTATTTAACGCACACACAGAACAAACAATTTGATTTTGTTGTGCAACTGACAGTTGCATAATTTCTGCATGAATGCCACTTTCAAATTCAATGCACACACACAGAGAGAGAGCATTCGTTTGTGTGTGTGGATGTGTGTGTGTGACTGTTAATTAAATTGTGTCTAAACGTGCGCCCGTCATTTGCTTTGGCGTTTGCCTCTGCGCTTGTTCAATGAAGCGCATAATTGCATAGAATATAGAAAGTTGATAATGCATTGCATATTTCGCATACCTTTCTCTATCTATCAACTGGGAGCCACAACAAAACTCAGTGGCATGGCGTAAACGGACTCAACTTGAGCTCAACTCTTCTAAAGTTAAGCACATTGACTCCAAAATACACAGGAAAGATTTGTACAGTGGGTATATTAGTGTTGCAGAAAAAGGTCTTATCTACAAGCAATAAATATAACAAAGGTCCTCTGATTTAAGGTTTGAAATTTGGTATAAATTTAAGACTTCAATGTGAGACTCTATGCCTAACTTTATTATATAATTTATGCAGCTTTATGGTACGTATTGGAAGACCTTTCCAACACTGTTTTAATGCAAGCTTCCACTCACAACACTGAGCTAAACAGGGTAGCGCCACATCGATCAGTTCGAAAGTTCCACTAAAACTTAGGGCGCAGCATCTTGGCAAAGAATGGTGCACGGAAATGCCGGCATAGCTTCCGTTTGTTTTAGATTCGTGGTTAGGCGGCCAGCAGAGGGGCGTTTGCGTGTGGGCGGGCGTGGCAGGAAAAGCATTTGAATGCGGCGTTAGGCTGAACAAAAGCTACAACGCGCTGTGCTCTGGCAATGTGGCAAACGGGAAATTAAACGTTGCGGTTGTCGCTGGAGTTGCTGCTGCTATAATTGTTGTTGCTGTTGCTGCTGTTGCTGCTGTTGTTGCCAATGCGGCGTATGCGGTATATTATTGGCACACAGCGCTCAATGCGACAATGGCACATGTTGTTGCAGGCATTGTTGCCGTTGTTGTTGGCTGCTCTTCATACAGCTCTGCAATTATGTTGAGCAGCGGCCACTGATAACAGCAACGGCAACGGCAACGGCAACAGCAACACAAATGTTGGCAACAAATAACAACGCATAACAATTGCCATTTGGTCATTAAGTGTCGTTTTAATGGCCATTTCCCTGAGTTGGTATTAAGTGCAATGCGAGTTATCTTCAAGCCACTAAATTGCCGTCAGATAAACGCGTTCCGAGCCAAAAGTTGGCCAAAACCAGAAGCTTAAAACCCACAATCAAATGCTAAACTCGATATGCACTACGATGTTTTGCCTAAAAGAAAATTTTAATTAAATGTCGCCGCTAACGATACGGTAATTCGAGCTGCTACGAGATCTACAGACACATTCATTCAAGCAGCAGCAGCAGTTGCAGCATCAGCATTATTTTGGCTATGTGAAAATGATTTTGGCTGCCGGCAAGGGGCTCAATTTATCATAAAATGAAACACGCCTCAGCTGCAGCATTACGACCTGCCCCAGTCCCCCTGCTAGTTGTGCCCATGTGGCAGGTAGCACATGTCAAGCGCTCGGATTGCGCCTAATGCCATTTGGAATTGCATTTGCAATGTGTCAGCAACATTTTTGGGCTGGCGCCTTCGAGCGCCATTTCTGATGGCTAATTTATTGTCCATAAATAACAAGTTGGGCTTATTGTGCGGCATATTTAATTTGTGCTGCATTTCTATATAAACAGCCGACGAATGGATAAAGAATCCTTGGAACAGGTAGTGCTTGAGGATAAACCAAAAACAACAACAGCCGCAGCAGTAGCAGTAGCAGCAGCAATGTAAGGCTCTGTTCTGGCATTGGCGTTTATATGGCAGGCATTACTGTACGGAGTAACCCACACGCCAAGTTCAAAAATTCATCATTGTTGGCTGCATTGTTGCCACCATCGCAGCCTCCTGCGCCTCCCCGGTCGCACTCTGTTCTTCAGCCTGCAACAAGCCGCAAACGAAACTGACGCTGATGCCCGGCAGCTACTTTTGGGATGAAATATTATAATTACAAGCGAATAGCCCGCGGCCAAGGAGCAGCAGGAGCAACAAGGGGCAAGCAGAGATGGCAGGCAGCAGGAGACCCAAATCAGACCAGACCGAACCGAACAGAGCGCTCGAGCTGCAGCCAGTTTGAGTATAGCCTCAGGCTTGCTTGCTCGCAACATGTTCGTGCACAGCAGGCAGGCAGGCAGTCAGGCAGTCAGGCAGTCAGGCAGGCAGGCATAGAGGCAACTTCGTTGTGTTTACATATGTGTGCGCGCTGTGCTACGCTCTGTTCGCTCTGCGCTGCTCTGCTTGGGTCTGCTGCGCTGCTACGGCTGCTGCTGCCGGCATTCGTGATAATTTAGATGCGTTTGCAGTGATAAGACATGAAACTGGTTTGATGTGCGGAGCAGCATGTTTGATGCCAACTGATGGACGACGCGTCGGCTGCAGTTTGAATTGGCGAATGAGTGAGAGGGAGAGCTAAACATGGCGTACAACTGTTGTGCGTGGGTTGGCTGGCCAGATGCAAAGGACAGAGAGAAAGGGAGAGAGAGAGAGAGTGGGAGTTAGCATAAGCCGTTATTAATTGCAACTTAATTGCTTCTAGCTATTTATTAAGTTTTTGTTTAATTTATAAGGCGGACATCTATAGACACGTAAGTACATAATATTATTTGTACATTTGCTTGTATGTGTGCATGTTTGTTTTCGTATTTTACTCGTTTTCATTTCAATTTACTGCATGTCAAGTACAAAAGAACACACACACTCACACATACACTTGTGCACATAGATGTGTGTGTGTGAGCTTTCCTCATTTTACATAGCTGTCAGTTTTATTGAAAATTAGCCTCCAGTTAATTTTGTATACCATTAAATTTATACATGTTTGCCCCGCTACCTTTCTCTCCATTTCTCGCTCGCCCTCTCACTAGCTGTCTCTCGGGGTCTGCTGTGTGTGTGAGTGTGTGTCTGTGTCGGTTGCCAGGCGATCCAAAATGTAATGCATGCAGATTATAACTTAAATATGAAATGTCACGCATTGACAGGCAGTTTTGAAAAGTGTGCAACAACAATAACAGCAACAGCAGCAGCAGCAACAACAACAACAAGAACAAGAAGACATTAATACACCAACAAGTTTTACACCTTCGGGGCAGTTGCGCCGCTGCCACTCCGTTTATGAGGCATTGCCACAGCCAAAGTCACAGTGCCAGTTCCACAGTTCGGGCTCGAGTCCAAGTCCGAGTCCGAGTGGATGCGGTGCCACAGCACCACCAGCATCATCTGAGCAGCCAACCACAAAAGGCGGCCTCAAAATGACAAGCAGCAAGCTATGCGGCTGCAAAATACCCATTACTAAGCATCTCATAAGGAGTTTAAGCCAATGAAAACCCTGCAGTGCAACGCGCTTAATAGAAGAATAGATAGACTCAACATTATGATTGATGTGTAACGATCTAATTAAATCATTGAGGACCAAGTTTGGATCACATAGTTGTGCTTACAATATCTTGAATATAAATATTATCATATTGAATTTTTGACAGGGTATCCCACAGTCGAACTGTTAGCTTGCTAAGCAGCTTGTAGTATTTGCTTTGAGGCGAAAGTGTGCGCTTTGGGATGTGGTTATTCAGGGCAAGATATGATAAGGGTCATGTAACTCTGACCAGCCTACCGAGGTGTGCAGCAGTTGTTGGGCTGTACCCGAGCGCCTGTGTGTAATCAGGGCATGTAGCTTCTTTTAACTGATTCCCCCGGCCAGCACATGCAAATTCAAATTTGTCAAACTTATTAAGAAAAAGCCTTTTTAAGTGCTTAACACTGGCTTGATTGGATAAGTGGACTCCTCTTCACTTATATATGCAGATCCTTTTGAATACCGGATCAAATACAGGAAAGGTATACGGACACCGACAGGACTTTTCCATTACTCGCAGATAAATTTTAGGTCCAGCATGAACGAAGGGATAATAATAACAAATTAAGCTACGTCCATCGACGAACCTGCCGAATAGATAGGCTAAAATATCAAAAATTCCCCGGAGCCACACTCGCTCTCACTCACATGGCGATGGAGCAGCCCATCATTTGAGTTTGCGGATTGATCATGTTGAAGAAGCTATTGTAGCCCCCAACCAACTTGTAATACGTCTGGTTCTTGTGCTGTATCAGCTTGGGGAAATTCAGGCTAGTATGCGCCTCGTACCAGTTACTCAAGGCAAACGGTATGAAGTTTGCCGAATAAGTGTTGCGATAAAAGAAGCCATTTCGTGATATATTAAAGTTTTTGGCTTCGTAAGGGGCATATTCCGAGTCCGGCATATGTAAATATCTTGTATTTTGGGCATCACACATTATATTTCGATGGCAGAGAGTGTGATGCCGGTTGGCGTACATGGCCAGCCTGTCATTCCACCTGATTTCCAGCATATCGCAGAGATTGAGCTTGGTAGCCAAACGATTGCGCAGTCCATTGTGGCCATAGATCAATAGCTTTCGATATTCCTCATATTTCTCGTCCGTTCCCGATAGATCGTAATGTTTCAATAGTGAAGTACATTTCTTGATGTGATGCTTACATAAGTAATTGCCAAAGCAATTCAGAAGACAGCTCTGATTCCCCGGAAAATACAAGCGATTAAGTAGATTACCGACAGTGTTTAACGCCAAGCAGCTGGAGACCAGTGGCACGAACCACAATATTAACATCTCTGTATTCTTGCAGATGTATAGGTTTTCAAGTGTGTACAGTTATTTGTAGAATATGTGTGTGTAAACTTTGAAGTACTCTGAGAAGGCTTCTGATATACAAATGAAAAGAAAACGAGAGTAATTCAATTTGGGGCTTTCTTCTTGGCAGAACTTAGATGTCGTTGACTTACTGGTTATCAGTTGCTTATCGTATATATATTATATTTTCGTTTTATTTACAAAGCAACAATTTCTCTACTTTTTCAAGTCTTTCCATAATATGTTTTTTTTTTTTTTTTTTTTATCCTTTTATATCCTTGTCGTCTACAATTTTCTTCATGCTTTAATTGTAAGTTGTTCTCTTTCTTTATGTTATTTTTTTTTTACATATTTCTTACATATGAGTAAAACTTATAAAATTCCTAATATTATTATTATTTTTCTTTATATTTAGCGAGTTCTTAAAAAGAGTTTTTAGAATTCTGAAATGATTTTTATAGTGTATACTACATAAACCATTTGAGAATTTTAAGAACTCAAGTAAGGAGCAGAGCTAAGCACTGAGTCTTAAATATTTGTGTTGTTTTTATTTCACAAGTCTTAAAACTTAAATATTTGTAATTATTTGTATTGTTTTTATTGAAATAAATCTTTCAGGTTGCTCCAGTTGTTGTGCCTTTTTCTGGTCTGCGCCCAGTCGCACACTTCTTGCCACACTTAACGCTTTAGTTGGCGTCGGCTACTGTTTAATTGTAAAGCTCGCAACGTTTTTCACACGGTTTTCTTTTCTGTTTTTTGCGCTACGTTTTTCGTTTGCTTTTGCCCATTTTTTCTTTTGCTCTTGGCCGTTGACAGGTGCCTAAAATGCATTTGCCACATTTTTCAGCGTGTGAATTTTGCACTTCACGATGTGTGTGGGCGAGTGTGTGTGTGTGTCTGTGTGTGTGTAACACATGTCTGCAAATTGCTTTACTAACTGACTGATTGACTCTGACTGCTAACTGAATCGACAGTTTTTGCTTTTGTTGTTGTTGTTGCGGCTGCTGCTGCTGTTGGCAGCTCTTGGCTGCTGTTTGGTTTGTGTCTGCCAAAGTGTTGAGTTGTTATGCAGCTGTGCGTGTGTGTGTGTGTGTAGTGAGTGTGAATATAACTGCATTAATGTGAGCTTATGCTTCGCCGAGTTCGCCAACGGTTCACAATAGGGCTTGCTGTTGCTGCTGCTGTTGCTGCTGCTGCTGTTGTTGGCATAATATTACAGGTAGACAACTACCTGGCCACATCATATGTATGCACGCATATGTCTATAGCTGCCTCTGTTGCCAGTTTCGCCCGTTTAACGCTACAATTAAACAAATAGCCGCGTGCAACATAAACACACACACACACAAACACACGCGCACACCTGCTCAGGTGAAAATACTTTATTGCCATATGGTCTGTACAGCATGTGCTGGCTACGATGGACGGGGGCAGGCAGAGGCGGTGCGTATCCAGGGCGGGCTATTAAGTGATTTTAACACTTTGCGCATGAAAATTGCAAAAAGGCAACGCCGTTGATAATTATCCCTTAATTGTTTAATGAGCAGCACTTGAGCAGTGCACGCAGCAACAACAACCACATAACCACACAACCAACACCACCACCACCACCAACAACAACAACAACAAGTCGAAGCTGCAGGATGTGTCAGCTTAATTAATGTCAATTTAATTACAACGATACATACAACATCGAGCACACGCATAAAACTCTGCATGGCATAAGGACACAAATATATATGTATGTATGTATAAGTGCATATATATGTGTGTGTGTGTGTGTGTGTGTGGATTATACTGGACGAGCTTAAACTCAAGCTTTAAAAATTATTTTAAAAAAGAAACTATATTTGAAGGCAAGACCATTTGTTTCAATATTCAAGTCCTTTTAAAACATTATTTGTTCTTAACTAAGTTCTATAATTAGCTAATTAACTAATTAATAATATGTAATTAATAAATAATATGTTTGCTTTAAACTAGCATAAATCTCTTAACTTTGCTTAAGCACATATTTATGCTGCTAGAAATATTCTTTAGACTTGTTAAAATACGATTTGTAACTATATTATATTATTAACTAGATATTATAAAAAATAATAAAAGAATTAAAAAAAGTAAGAGGAACTAATTATTTAATAACTTTTCTTGTAGATAGATTTTTCTAATGATATTTCCAGGCTTTAATTAAGACATTCACCTTGCATTTGCCAAAGCACAAGTCTCCAGCATCTGATATAGGGTTTTTGTTATTATTTTATTTAGCATTGACCTTACTAACTCTATTTGATCCATCCAAATTTTTGCAAGATCTCCATTTTATTTTGCTTGTTTAGGCCAAAATAACTGGGTTAATGAATGTATCAAAAATTGTGCCATGCTTCAGTGTAAAGAGTTGGGCAAACAGCTAACAAGGTTTTTTTTGGGCCAGCTCTGGTTCCCACAGACAAGCTAAGTCTGGAGACTATTAATAGTATAAACAAAAGTAAAAGTAATAATGAAACGAAATATGTTAATAAAATCCATTTACATCTTGAACTCATCTTAATCGTTGACTCATGGCTCGTAGCTAAAGAAGACATCAGTCAGGCAGTCGGCCATTTAGTCATTTGGTCAGTCAGCTTATTCATTTGAGTCTGTATCAATTCGACGCACTCACAACTGGCCACGTCGACGTCTCTATTAGCCAGGTCCGCGCAAGTAATTTGGTTGTTTGACTGATTAATGTTCAGCTGCAAACGAGTTGAGTTGAAAGCTGGGAAGCTGCAGCTAAGTCAAGATGGAAAGATGGAAAGCTGGGAACTATGTCTAGTCGAGGGTCTTTAGCAGCTGAAGCAGTTGGAGCTTAGGCCCCCATCAGAACGAGCACAGCTTGCTCAGTTGTCAGTGGCAGCGTCTTTTACCCTTTTCTCTCGTTAATGGCCAGCGGTCATATGTTTATTTTTAATACCCTAGCCAGCAATTTCTAATGCTTTTCCAATGAAATTTGCAGCACATGGAAAGAGATGTTGATGCTTCTGTATGAATATATAACTTAATATTGTTTCTAAAGTATAATCTATGTTCAGACAGTTTAGAGTATACATATATATATATATATTATATTAACATTAAGTTAACATTAAGTTAACATAGCTGCCAATGTTTAGTTTAGTTTAGGTATATCTGAGATCCACTTCAATATGCTTTCATAATCATTTATAGTTAATACAGACATAGCCAGGCTACAAATATTTCTATATATGAAATACATCTGACAATAAATTATGAATACTACTGTAAAGGTTAGAGTATTTACTCTTCGGCGTGTTTGGTCTAGTGTTTTTTGTTGCTGTTGCTGTTGTAGGATTCGAACTATAATATAATCTTGTTATTGCCGTTTGCCGTTGAAGAACCAATCTAGACTCAATTCAATTATTTTATCCATAACGACGCGTTAAATTTCTATATATATTTAGAAGCGAGTCTCTGCGACAGAGACAATAACTTGTATATAAAAGACAAGTGCTGCACACAATATATATAAATATATAAATATATAAATATATATGTATTTTTGTATGTGTGTGTGTGTATATAGATACCTATGTGGCATATAAAATAGTGAATGTAATTTTATTCACATGTATGGCCGGGGGCCAATCCGTTTTGGCCTGCGGCCACAAATTGCACAGCGGCAACAGCAGCAGCAGCAAGCAACCCCGGAACCCCAGAGAAGGCGCACCTCGCTGCCACAACCCAGGCCAAAGCCAGCTGCGAATGTGTGTGTGTGTGTAGCATGGTACATTATATGGCAAAGGCAGCAGAGAGCGGGGCAGAGAGTTGAAATCCATCATTGGCGCATGGCCGGCGGCTACATTTGGGTTGAAATATTATAATTACAAGCGAACGCCTTAGGGGCATGGAGAGGTGAGGCTGTGGCAGTCAGCAACGTTTGCGAGCGTTGCCATCGCGTGTCTGTCTGTCCGTTCGTTCCTCCCTCTGTCCGTCTTGTCGTCTCTCTGTCTATCTGTATCTCTATCTAACTGAGCTAAAACTCAACAAAGCTGCGGATATGGATACTTAGTTGCCCGCTATAGCTGCTGTTGCTGTTGCTGTTGCTGTTGCTGTTGCTGTTGCTATTGCTGCTGTTATTGTTGTTGCTGCTGCCTTTGGTTGTTCGCTTGTTGTGTTTACGTTGCGGCTGATAATATGGCGCGTAGTCGCAGCAGTTTGTTGCCTCGGGCTTGGCCGCATTGCAGCATGTTCGAGCTGCAACATGTTCGATGCAACCGCAGCGAGCAACCCACAATGTGGTTTCACGTCCTTTAGACTGCCATTGTCCTTGCACGTTGGCTGTTTGTTGTGCGAGTGTGTGCGACGGTGTATGTGTGTGCTTTGTTGTTGTTGGTTGTATTTTGTTTTGTTTGCTCAGGTGACAGCGTCAAACGGGATGCAATTTTTTTGCATTTGCTCTCTATGCTATGATATGGCTAGCTATGCGACATACCCTGTAAATACAGTGCAAAGGAAGAGCATATAAATTCGTTTGCCTGAAGGGTACAAATGTGTATGAGAGCTGCATATAAGCTAGGGAGAAAAGTTGTCTAACAACGCTTTGGTTTTGGGTCAGCGACAGGTCAAAGTCTTTCATGAATTCTTATCAAATTATTTCTATATATAGTTATTAACTTACTTTAATAATTATAATAATTGAATAATTCCACTATTATTTGGATTTACGTTTTACCCAGATCTATCTCCCTCTCTCTCTTTCTCTCTTTCTCTGTTCTACGTGGTATCCTAGCCGCGCGCACTTGATTTGACACTTTGTCACTTGTTTGCCTTCGTACTTGTTGCACTTGTGCGTGTGTGGGCATGGCAAGCAAAAAAAGAAGCAAGCAATAATAAGCGTCGCTCACATTGTTATTTGAACGTGTGTTAAAGGCGGCAAATTGGCCAAAAATGAGACACAAATGCATAACTAGGCAGTAACAGCAGCAGCAGCAGCAGCAGCAGCAGCAGCAACAGCAGCAGCAGCAACAACAAAGACAACGTTGACAAAAACATGCAACACACACATGTTGCAGAGCAGCAG